CAAGCTAGGTCCTAGTAAATTTGGCCCAATTAATTTCACTTATTTCCATCTCTCCTTTTTGGATTACTAGATTAAAACAAAAACCTGAGAATCCATAACAAATCTGGAGATTGTTTTGAAACATGGGTGGGGCCAATCCGTACTTTCTTCCTGATGCTGATCTGATTCCATCTGCTTTTTAATCACAGTTTGTCAAAGGAGCTACCCTGGTTGAATTCACATTTCAGGCAACGTCATAGTTGCACGCAACTCCAATTTTTTTTTTTAAACAATCACGGCTGCATTTAGAGAACTTGCCAAGTCACATTTCATTGGAGGAAAATGTTTGAAGCAAACCAGGCACTCCTCAGCTAGATCGCAGATGAAATGGCTCTTTCTATAATGGTGTGGATGTAGTTCAGGGGTGTCAGAATCAATTTCACTGAAGGCTGCATTAGGGCTGCCCTCAAAGGGCCAGATGGGCGTGGCTGGGTGGGCGTGGCTAGATGGTCACAGCTGGGTCGTCATGACTAAGTAGGTGTGGCTGGGTGGGCGTGGCTAGATGGTCACAGCCGGGTCGTCATGACTAAGTAGGTATGGCTGGGTGGGCGTGGCTAGATGATCACAGCCGGGTCGTCATGACTAAGTAGGTATGGCTGGGTGGGCGTGGCTAGATGATCACAGCCGGGTCGTCATGACTAAGTAGGTGTGGCTGGGTGGGCGTGGCTAGATGATCACAGCCGGGACGCCGGGACTAAGTAGGTGTGGCTGGGTGGGCGTGGCTAGATGGTCACAGCCGGGTCGTCATGACTAAGTAGGTATGGCTGGGTGGGCGTGGCTAGATGATCACAGCCGGGACACTGGGACTAAGTAGGTGTGGCTGGGTGGGTGTGGCTGGATAGTCACAGCTGGGTTGCTATAACTAGGTAGGTGTGGCTGGGTGAGCATGGCTGGATGGTCACGGCCTGGTCGCCGTGACTAAGTGGGTGTGGCTGGGTGAGCGTGGCTGGATGGTCAGAGCCGGGTCGGCATAACTAGGTAGGTGTGGCTGGGTGGGTGTGGCTGGATGGTCACAGCTGGGTCGCCATAACTAGGTAGGTGTGGCTGGGTGAGCATGGCTGGATGGTCAGAGCCAAGTCGCCGTGACTAAGTAGGTGTGGCTGGGGGGGCGTGGCTAGATGGTCACAGCCGGGTCGCCATAACTAGGTAGGTGTGGCTGGGGGGGCGTGGCTGGGTC